GGTCCTCCTTCCTTAAATAGTTCTTGATTGACAACCACTTTGTATTTAAATTTAAGCCTCGAATAGTTATTTGATAACCGTCCCTTTGCTTCCTTTATGCATATCCTCTCTTCGACACTAACTCGATTGCGGGACCTAATGTATCGTTTTACTTAAATCTTATGATTTCATCGAAACTAGGTTGGTTATACGACTAAACACATCATTTTATTTAAGATTCATCATTCCATTGAAACTTAGTTGGTTTATGAAACCAAACGCATCGTTTCATTTAAGATTTAATGCTTCGTTGAAATTTGGTTGGTTTATAAGACCAAACGCATCGTTTCATTTAAGACTTAATGCTTTGTCAAAATTTGATTAGTTCATAAGACCAAAATGCACCTTTCCATTTCTATTTCATTATTGCATCATAAAAAGATGTCACACCCGATCGACGTATGATATTAATGCTTCATCAAAGTTTGATTGATTTATAAGACCAAAACGCACCGTTTCATTTATATTTCGTTATTTTTTTCATAAGAAGTCACACTTGATCGATGTGTGATCTTGAATTTTGAAATGCCAACAATTGGGTTAGATTTCCAATATGTCCTCATAATTTGAACTCGATTTCTAGTCTATCTTTTTAGTTATAATTTAACAATATTTTTGATTCAATTTATAATACCTAAAAATTTTACATGATAATGTATTGTGCGTATTTGTGTGCAAATGTGCTATATTTGTGTATTTAATTTAATATTTTTATATGTTTAGATGATGTGATGATTAGGTATAATGTTTTAGGATATAATATATATTTTTAGGTATTATAGATAGTATTTTTATAGATATAAATTAATCCTACAATCTTAGCCTAAGCTATTAGGAATTAAAGGATTAAAATAATAATAATAATTAATAAAATAATAATAAATTTTACTAGCTTTTAAAGGGAATGTTAGTGGTTGTGAAAGAAGAGTAAAAGTTTTGAAGCATATACTAAAATTAAAGAGGAGACATGAATGACCATGAAAGAAAAGAAAGTGGTCATAAAAGAAAAATGTTAGTGATCATGAAAGAAAAGAAAGTGATCATGAATGAAAACCACTTAGTGGCCATAAAAGAAGAAAGTTAGTGGTCTTTTATTATTTTTAATTCATGAACTCAAAATTTCTAAATGTTTCAACTTCCCATGCCTATATATAGGGTGTCATTCTCCTCATTTAGGAAAGTCATTTCATAAGCTTATATTTTAAAAAAGAAGGAAGAGAGATAGATAGATAGAGAGAGAGAGAGAGAGAGAGAGAATATAATTGAGTAAGAAGTGGAGTCAAAGGTATTTATAAAAAGATTCAAGTCTTTGGGTGATTCAATATTTAAGGTAAGAAAAATATTTAATTTAATTATTTTTTTCTATATGATTTTAGGTAGAATTGAATTCGAAATTTCATGATTTAGGATTGATTATGTAAAAATTATATTTTAGTATTAAAATCTTAAATTTTTATTAAAATATTTGATGATTAAATGTATTTAAATAAGAATTGAAAAGGTTAAGTTAAAACTTAATAACATTAGATTATATGAATCTAATTAGAGGAGAATTGAATAAATTAGAGTAAAGTTGATGATTTGATTAGGATTTTAAATTTAAAAGAAATTACAAGAAAAGAATAGGAATTAATAAAAATTAAAAGATTAGAGATAAAATAATAATATTCAATTTCTTATGTTATATGGTGTGTATGTTCAAGGTTTGAATCAAGTCGAGGTATTGATTTTTAGAGGAAGGTTACGATAAATATTGGTCTTAAGCAAATCAAGTAAGTGTAACTCACCTACACCATGGACGTAAATGTTATGTGTTTTTATGTGATTGATGTGATGTGATGTGATGTGATGGTCTTGAGATGCATTCATACCCATGCATATGTTTTACATGTTGATTGAAAGAAAATGTTTTAAGTAAACGAATGAGATTATTTTTTTAATGCATAATGAGGTTCAAAGGTTGAGGTTGTTTATCAAGGCATAATCGTTGAGGTTTGACTCGTTAAATCATGAGGTTAATGTTTTTATGCATGTTTTTATTGAGGTTAGGCTCGCTAACCGATGTTAGTATCTTCTAGCGGGCCCAAATGAGGAAAAGAATTTTAAAGACATTCATGTACAAAAAATTTTAATGTAAAATCATGCATGTTACACTTATTGAGATATTCGTATCTCACGTCCGTTCGTGGTGTAGGTAAGATGCAAATGTTGAGGATGTTGATGCTGCTTCCGGTGATCAATGACTCATGTGCTTGCCTTTATGTGTTCCTAACGATTAGGTTATGCTTTAAATGAATATTTATTTTTAAAATAATACGTGTAATGATCTTAAACTTATGAATGTTGAAAATTTTTACTTAGAATTTGGATATGAATATTGAGATAAGATTATTTAGAAATGTTAATCATGGTGATAGATGTTTTATAAATATGAAATTTTAGAATAACGCTTCCGCTATGTTAATAAGAAAATCTTATGATTATATATTATTAATTATATTTTTAAATTGACATATTTAAATAAGATTAAATTAGGAACTTAATTTTAAGAAAAATAAAAAGGTTCTAAGTTTTAGTAATGACTTGTTTGATCATGACCCTTCGGATGAGGTGTCTCGATTGACGAGCGTTACACAATTAAATATATAATTTGCATATGGTATGTGATTTAATAAAATTTTCTTTTTTATTTGACACAAGTGATCTATATCTATTAATATGAAAATTAATTTTAAAAAATTGATCAAAAATTTTGACAAAAAAGATAGATTAGCAACCAACTAAAAACATAATGACAGATTTGATGCAAGAGTTTTATTTATTTATTTATGACTGATTGAAAAATTGGCTTAATATATAAGCACATGTGAAGGTATTGATCTAAAAAAAATTCTCAGTGTGATTCATGTGCTCCATCTGCTTTTAATTTGACAACATGTCAATAAAAGAAATGGCACGTGTCTAGCAAATTTTAGACTACAAGTCCAACGGTGAATTGGATGGTAATTAATAGAATGGAGAGATTACATTAATAAATTTTTTTGAATGGTGAAATTGACCAAGAAAAGGTTCTTAGGTCACAACAAGAAATATCAAGAATATAAAAACTGTGAATGGTCACATAATTTGGTCCATCTTTCAATGGCTTAATGGTGTATTTGCTCCCTCTACTCTCATTTTTTTCTTAATTTGGTCCTCTTACTCATCTACGATTTTCTATTTTCATATTTTGTAATCATTTGGTCATTCTATCAATAATAGCGGTAAATCCAATATTAAGTGCCACGTGTCCATTAAAAATTGGTGTCATATGGGTGTCATCTGTTTCAATTAAAGATAAGATGTAATGTCGTCAATGATGGCAAAATCAAATAACTATAAACTAGAGCATAGAATGATGACATTAGGAGAACAAAGCACAAAAGGAACGAACTAAAACAAAATTAGAGGGACCAAATACACAATTAAAACGTCTTTTCAATTAATTTTGGGATTTTTTTTTTTTTTGAGAAATTATAGGAGTCTTCCTTTAGAGGAAAGTTAATTAATTCTTGTGTCCCAAAAGAGATTATTCTGTTTGATTTTCACACAATTTAAAAAAAAATTATTAATTATTATGCCATATCAGCATTTTCTATTCATATTTTTTAATCTTTCTTGTTAAAATTATTAGTTAATAAATTTAATCCTACACTACATAGAACCAATACTAATTTGAGGAGAATGTATCCAAAATTAAGATGGTAAATAAAAAAAATCGTTAAGTTAATAAACAATTAAGTTTAAAATAATTATAAAAATAATATATTAGTGGAAATATTATACTTTCAATATTTTGGCATACAATAAAATTTTTGTAATAATGAATATTTTTCATCATGTAATAAAAAATTAATTTCAGCATACAATAAGATTTCTGCAATAATGAATATTTTTCATATAACAAAAAAAAATTTCTTTGAAATTTTTATTTAAAAAAAAATTGTATGTATAAAGAAAAAATATAAAGAATATTAATTTTTTGTTATTGAAGAACAAAAAATGAAAGAAATAATTGATTTTTTTATATCAATTAAAGGGTATTTTAGGATCACAATCTCTTTGGGATAAAGAGAATAATTAATATCAAATCTAATAACAATTTTACAGTCTCTTTAAAAAAAAAAAAACAAAAATAGCTGGACGACAAATTAATTAATTAGTTTATTCCTTTCAAACAGAAGCCATTACATGAAACAAACCTACCTATCATCATCTCTTAAGTCTTCAGTTCATTTTGTTGTTGAACAAGAATAGTTTCCTGTCTTTTTACTCCAAATTAATACAGTCCAAGACGAAGAGTCATTTTCCAATTTAGAAGCCCTGTAATATCAAAGTCTGAACTCCCTCTAACATGCCACAGAACCCAAAAAAAAAAAAAAAAAAAAACTTCATGTGTTGGCAAAGCTAAGTAACACCAAACAACATACCCTCTGGTCAAATTTATGTATATATATAAAATCCTTCCTCTCAACTTCCCTCCTTCAATACCAAGCCAAAGTACTCCACACCCTTAAAAAACAAACACCACAGCCTCTTCTAAGTCCCATGTCTCTTTCTCCTTAACAACCCTCTCCTTCGTTCCTTCCTTCCTCATGTATATTAAAGCATCCAAAAAACAAGTTCGAAATATATATATATATATATATATACACGTACACACACATGTCTAGCCTAATTGCTAAGCAAGTTTAGGTGACCGATAGCAACCTCCTCAAGCTCCTAACAATCCTTCCTTTTACTGCAGAATCCTTTCTTGGGTTTCTTGCAATTCTATTCGTCATCAGTTCTTCTTTGGGCGTGATTGCCAAATTAGGACATAACCAACCAAGAGAAAAACAAGAAACAAATATACTTTTGGGATTGATATTGGTTCTTGTTTCTTGGTTTTGCTGTGTTGTCTTCGGTTTAATTATAATAAAATGCAGCTTCATATATCACCAAGTTTGAGGCATGTGACTGTTTTTCCAGGAAAAGGAGTTAGAGAATTTATGAAAGTGAGGGTTGGAGCTAGACGGGTTTCATATCGAATGCTCTTCTATTCTCTCTTGTTCTTCACTTTTCTTCTTCGCTTTGTGTTCGTTTTGTCCACAGTTGACACCATTGATGGAGAAACCAAGTGCTCTACGCTAGGTACGTTTTAAATAACATAAACTACTACTATATCTATTGCATTACTCCTACTTTGATCTCTTCAGTTCTTCACGTCTTTTGGTATATTTTCAAAAATGCCGATTGCTAGCATTATTTAATGATATTGTTAAGAAGAATGCATTTTTTTTTCCAAAACTAGATAATAATCATAAGATATAGCTTCAAATTTTGATGAACAAAAAAATTATGAAGATAGAAACGCAACACCTAATGGCTGACTTGTTCTGTATATGTGCATTAGGCAATAGCATTTTTTAGTTGATTAATTGTTTAATTAGGTCAATAAGTCATAGAATTCCAGGTTTGTAGGGAGTATCTAAGCTTCTCTTCAAGAGTTAAAAACCATGGATAGTTTACCTCTGGATATTTTATGTATAGTTTATTTTACGATGCCATATTTCTCCATAGTCGAGAGAGAATAGGTCCTAGAATAAGTGTAGTTTTATTTATTTTATTTTTTTCTATATTACTATTTTCCCTAGTATTTTAAAATAAGTTTATTCATAAATTTACCTACCTACATTCTTTCTTAAGAGGTTGCTTCTACCAGTAATAATAATACGAAAACCCTCAAATAAGCTTTTTTTTTCCTTTCATTCTTTTATAAGTACTTGATTTTATTAGCTTAAAAAGGAAAAAAAGAAGCCTTGGAGTGATTTTTTATACCATAGAATCGAAATGTCATTAGCAAATTGATAGTTCTTGATTTGGTTATTTAATTAGAAGGCATATTAATTTGAGATCCAAATTGAATTATGGATTGCATTTTGGGATATACTTGGAAATGATTTAAATTAAAGAAAGGTTGGCGGTCTAGGATATATGTAACTTTTTGGGACACAATGCATAACCATTATGAAAAAGTTAAAAACATTTAAGGACCAAATTAGAAGATATTAAAGCATACGGTAGTTCATTCCATGCGAAGCATTCATGCCCATTGCCCAACATCTATCATTAAAAAAAAAAAAAAAAAAAAAGGTCAAAAATTCATCAACAAGGATTTTGGTCAGGTTGCTTAATTATTATGTGAAAGCGAGACATGGACTGCCCAATCATAACATTTCTTTACAAAAAAGTTCGTTCCAAATTATTGTTAGGCAATCAATTCTTAAAATAAAAAAAACATCTTTATTTAGTCAATTAGCACATCCAGTAATTAATTAATTAATTAGCAGATTTGATATATTCACCTATGGTTGGTGTATAATTAGTTTTATTATTAGCCATTAAGAGGCTGCCACCTTATTAACAAGGATAATAATATGTTAAAGCAATATAATTTGATTACCATTTTAATTAATTAATTAATCTGGCCTTAATATTTATGATTCCGATGATAGGTTGCTTGGGGAAAAGACTAGGACCAAGGATATTGGGAAGAAGGCTTGATTCAGCTGTAAGCTCCTTAACCCCTTCTTGAATTTTTGTGGAATTAAACTTAATTAGTGTAAAAAAAAATTGTTAATTGAAATTATTGTTTGGTATCTAAAGGTACCCGATGTGATATATCAAGTACTAGACCAACCACTTGGCAATGACGAATTAAAGGGAAGAACTGATGTTCCTCAAACATTAGAGGAATTTATGGATGAAGTCAAAAACAGCAGATTAGATGCAAAAACTTTCGCTCTCAAGCTCAGAGAAATGGTATCACATTCCTTCTATCCTTAGTTTGATGTTAATACTTGTTGCTAGAAATTGTCATTCACAAAAGTAATAAAAAATTGATATCTTTCAGGTCACTCTACTTGAACAAAGGACTAGAAATGCCAAAATCCAAGAATATCTGTACAGGCATGTAGCATCAAGTAGCATACCGAAGCAGCTTCATTGCCTTGCCTTGAGGTTAGCCAATGAGCACTCCACCAACGCAGCTGCTCGGCTCCAGCTCCCGTTGCCGGAACTCGTCCCGGCGCTCGTCGACAATTCTTACTTTCACTTTGTCCTGGCTTCAGACAATGTTCTTGCTGCTGCTGTTGTTGCCAATTCACTTGTCCAAAATGCGTTGCACCCACAGAAGTTCGTGCTACACATAATAACGGATAAGAAAACTTATTCACCTATGCAAGCATGGTTCTCATTGCACCCTCTGACTCCTGCGGTAATTGAGGTCAAGGCATTGCATCATTTCGATTGGTTCGCGAAGGGGAAAGTGCCAGTTTTGGAAGCAATGGAGAAAGATCAAAGGGTGAGGTCACAGTTTAGAGGGGGTTCATCTGCAATTGTGGCAAATAACGCCGAGAAACCTCATGTTATCGCGGCAAAGCTACAGACACTTAGTCCCAAATACAATTCAGTGATGAATCACATTCGAATTCATCTACCTGAGGTAATAAAATTCTCAGTAATTCTGTGCGAACATAAGCTTTTGGTCCATGCTTGTAATGCTTAGCTAGTGTCAATGTTCTGTTTTGCAGTTATTCCCAAGTCTGAACAAGGTTGTGTTCCTAGACGATGACATAGTGGTACAGACCGATCTTTCGCCTCTCTGGGACATTGACATGAATGGAAAGGTTAATGGGGCAGTAGAAACCTGTCGAGGAGACGACAAGTTTGTGATGTCAAAGAAGTTGAAGAGCTATTTGAACTTCTCTCATCCTTTGATAGCGAACAATTTCCATCCGGACGAATGTGCCTGGGCTTATGGCATGAACATTTTCGATTTAGAGGCTTGGAGGAAAACCAACATAAGCGTAACATACCATCACTGGGTTGAAGAGGTAATCATCAATCTACATCACATAATTTTCGGTCAATTTGTGACGATTATCGACATATTTCGTAATCGAAAATTTGTTCATTTTCTCCTTGCAGAACTTGAAATCAGACCTGAGCTTGTGGCAGCTAGGAACATTACCTCCAGGCCTAATAGCATTCCATGGTCACGTCCATGTTATCGATCCCTTCTGGCATATGTTGGGTCTAGGCTACCAAGAAAACACAAGTTTGGCCGATGCTGAGACTGCCGGAGTCATCCATTTCAATGGTCGAGCAAAGCCTTGGCTAGATATAGCATTCCCTCAACTCAGGGCCCTGTGGGCTAAGTACATCAACTTTTCTGACAAGTACATTAAGGGCTGTCATATTATGGCGTCTTAACTTGAATTTTGAGATGAAAATGTTGACTGCATTGGTGATTAATATATCTCTATATATGAGGGGAAAAAAAGGGAAAGAAGAGAGAGTCCTTCACCAATTCAAGGCCTTGAATTCATAATGTAAAAGCATACGCACCTCCAGGCATTTGTTTAATTTTTTTTTTTTTTTTTTTTACAACTCTTCCTCCGAAGGTGAACAACCCTTCCCTTCCCTTGCCTTATTACTTCAATTCTTAATTCAATTTTAAGGAGCAATTAAGCAAGTTATGGACTTTCAACCATTACCAGCGTTTGTGCCTCTGTATGAAGTATTTCATGCTGGAAGATTGCAAAATATTTATGGCCGCATATTTTGATCAGAATGATTTTGGATGAAAGTTGAAATTAGTAAAATAATTAATGGTAATCTGATTACGTGAGGTGATTTAACAGAAAGGTCCATAGAACTGCTAGAATTACAGTAATCTTATATCTCAGAACAGACCAAATTAAAAATGTAATCTCCTACACACTACCACGTAAATCAGAAAACCTGCAGCAGAAAAAGGGACAAGAAAACTTATGGTTGCAGCCCCAGGGTTGCTCTAGTAACCATGGTTTAAAAAAGGCTTATTGTAAAAAAAAAAAAAAAAAAAATACAAACTTTACACTTTTTAATCATATTAATACTTTCTTTCGATGTTGAATAGAAAATACAAAATCAAGTTTTTATTAACCATATTAACATGTATACTTTTTCTAACCAAAATTCCGTTAACATTTGATGCGTGATAGAAGGGAAATTTTGACATTAAGAACTAAAATTTCCTGCCATGTCGGATGTTGATGAAATTTTGATTGAAAAAAATTACGAATACTAATATAGTTAACAAAAGTTTAATTTGTGTTTTTTTTGTTAAATATTAATAAAACATGCTAATATAATTAAAAAGTATAAAGTTTGTGTTTTTTTAGAGGAACATTCCATTTCTTAACATAGTTTTAGTATTTCATGGCATTGCAAATTGTTTGACAATGTAACAGAGCACCTTGTAAATTATTTATTTATTTATTTTTGAATTTATGTTAAATGCATCTACAATCAATAGTTTTAGATAAATTACCTTACATATATATCAACCTTAATATATTAATTATATTATTTAGTTTATAAATACCTTTTGATTCTGAGTTTTAAAGTTTTTACATGCATCATCATAATCATGATTGTTTTGCAGTTGGTCACACCACAACTCATTTTGTCGCGACCACTTTGATAAATGCCAACGAGACTATGATTTAAAACCATGCATGCTAATATAATACAAACCAGTATGCATGTTTGCATCACTCTCATAATGACAGGATATTGAAACTATGTAATTTACTCAATTTTGTCCACCTTGTATAGCTTCAAGATTTTCACTTTTCTACAACCTGAAACTCGTGACTTCTCCTACACGAGAGCAATTCCTAAAGACCTTAACCAACATGTGATAATAATTGGGATAATAATAATTTAAAATAACAATGTAGGCAGCAGCCATAAATTCACAAAGTTATATACATATATAAACACATAGATTAACAATACAATTCCAATAAATGAAAGTTGCACGTTACGTTGGTTTGAGTGGAAAGAATTGATTTCAGATTCAAGTTTTTGTATATGTTGGAAAACTACTTAAATAGACAAAAACTGCTTAAACAGTTATGACTGTCTTATATAAAGGAACGAATAGCAAGATAGTTTAGGATCAAAATAAAAAAATAATAATAAAACTGCACATTAATAAAATAATAATAATAATATATAATTCATCTCTCTAGTAAGCAAGCGATGCACAATAGTTGTAACTGTAATATAGTAATCAAACATCGGCTGATTCAAAAACATAACCAAACTTGAAATCCAAAACAGACATTCCTACTTTCTTCCGGTTACATTTGACATTAAATCCTTGAAAAACTTTGCAGATTTTGTAATTGGGGAATTGATAGCCATCAAATTATACAAAACGTTCTCTACTTCACTAATGGATGGCCGTGCCTTGAACCTTGAAACAGCCTTCAATTCTCCGTCTTCTTCTTCAACAAGAACAGTCCATTCCTCACCACTCACAACCCCATCTCTTACACACTTGAAAATCAATCCTTTTCGCTTGCTCAAAATACCCCAAACCTCCAACCCCATAAACGAATAAATCACTTCAAAAGATCCCACAAAGCCATTCAAATCACCAAAGTCATTCTCCTCTTCAAAACCCCATTTGGGGTTGAATATGACTACTGGCTTTGGGTACAAAAGATCAGTGACGGTTTTGATATCAAGTAGCTGTGAATTCTCTGGCGCCAAAAACACTGCCACATCAGCAGAACTCAAAGTTCTGTTGTCTGTATTTCTGACTGAAGAAATGTCAAAGTGCTCAACATTGTTTGATGAATTATGAGATCGAAATGCCTCTATGCCTTTGTTCTTCAATGAGGGGCTCGGCCAGAGGATGAAAATCTTGACCGGCGCCCCTTTTCTTTTAACGGGCAGATCTTTAAAAACATCGAAGGCAAGTTGGGAGAGAGAAGTTGGTGAGTCATCTATGACTGGTATTTCTACCTGGAATCTAGGTTGCTTAAGTTTCTTGAGTTTGCCAGCCAGTTTTGGGTTGTTTAGGGGCTTCTCTAGGGTAGTTGAGAGGCAGGTTTTGGCTTGAAGAATGGCTTCTTCTTTGGAGGTAGGAGGTGAGCTAGAGGAAGACAAGGCGGAGTGGATAGGCAGAGTGGGACTTCTGGATTGATAAAGGAAAGGTGAGGGGAAGGAAACATGGAAACGGAAACGGACATGGCGATGATGGTGGTTTTCAGGGAATGATATACGAGGGAAGAGAGTTTTATGTTGTAGATATTGTGTCGAGTGATTTGTAGTTTTGAATGATTGGGTGTGAAATTTGAGAAGATTGGAAGCCATGGGAGTTTTCTTTTAACAAAATAGCAAGATTTTGTAACCAGGATCAAAATGGTACACCAGCTCCAAGCAGATAAGATGTCATGGCAAGCCGAGAGCCACATAACGCTTGCATAAGGATGGCCCACGGTTTATACTTTATGGTCTTTTAACTGGTTTCCATTGCTGCTTTCCTGTTTCTGAGCAATTTACACACCAATTAAGACTCCGATCCAATTTTCTGTCAGATTCTTTAGAGAACGTTTGCCTGAAAAGAAAAACATAACCATCAAAACTGCCTTATCACGGAAACTCCACTCGCTAAGCTACGCTGATCGGACGAAACCAAACACCACAAGTTCTTGATCTTCTGATCTGTACAAAGGCCAGACACAGTGCACCATAATTTGAAGACGCAATTTCACCCAACCGTATCGGGTTGGGTGGGAGAGATTGCATACAGATATTCCAGGCATCCCTAGCTACAAAGAACAAGGCTCGTGCATGCTTAATTCCACGATAATTGAGGACAAAAGATTGGTACGCGACCAGAGTGAAAATTTTATTTAATCAAAGACAGTCATCCCTTAGTTCGGAGAGTCCCAAGTCCAGCTGAGGTTAAGGGGAACCAGTCTTTACCAGTAACAGGTGACCTAAAAGAAACCAGTCGATTTCTAAACCCTAGGCCTACATTGCAATCCGTAATATACAAACTCCTGGCAACAATAGCTAAAGAATCCCCTACGTGCAGTCAAACTGAATCGTTGGTTGCCAGACTAAACTTATTAAATTTACATGTAAACACCAGCAACAATTCATAGGAAGTCCAGATTGAAATACAATCAGCCAACCACCAAATCCAGTGAGAAATCTTTCAGCAAGAACTAATACAGACAAATCAATGACAAAATAAATGCACTCGTTTTGGTGCAAAATGCAAACCCACTTCATAGCAGGTCGCCAACTTAGGCAACTGGTGGGCGGAGCACATGATCTTGCGATGTATCCACTGCAGCAGGTGGCATGAACTGCCACATAGCAACTCCAGGATAACCAATGAAGGGCATTAATTTGTTGCCAGGTGCTTGGCCTTGAGTAGCAAATGCAGCAGGGATTGCAGGAGGGGGAGGCATGAAGGTGGGTTGTGAGTTCATCGCTTTCAGCTGCTGCTCCAGCTTCTCCTTCTCAGACTTCAGCCTCTGCTTCTCATCACGAAGTTCATTTTTCTCAACCTATGCAAGACAAAGGACAGTTCAAAAGAATTGCAGTAGCTGTATTAGGTGGCAGGATATTATGCAAAAGGGAAGAAATCAAACACAAATATATGACTAAAGCCCAGAAGTCCATCAAAATCAAAAATAGAATCAGAAACACATAAATGTCACTAGACCTTCAACTCTTTAATCTTCTCTTGAAGACTTGAATTTGAGTCCTTCAACTTCTGGGCTTCACCTCGTAACTGAGTCACCATGCGGACAGCATCGACCAAAATAGCAGCCTTGTCCGATTTGGGAGTTCTCCCAGGCTCCAAGATAGAGCCCAATTCCATAAACCTGGTAGACATTTCAAATACAGAATATGAGTGCCTAAAAGAAGCACAGAGAGAGATAGAGACAGAAGGGAGGCTCGAGAATAAGAGAGTACTTGTCATTTAGCCTATCCCTTCGCAACTTTTCCCTACATGCTTTGGAGCTAGATGCACTGCACGATTCAGATCTACCCCTACAGCAAGGAAACAAGTGTGAGAGATAGGCAGGATACATTCGTCCACAACATACTTGCTCACTCCAATCCAGTTATTTTAAATTTAAAATAGACAAACAAACAATTCATGCATGTATCACATTTTGTAAATGCAAAACAGATTAACAAAGTACCATATTAAAAATTATTTCATAAACAGCATTCAAAGTAGACCACTCAGGTTACATGATAACTCTACACTGGTACTAAATGTAAGATAACCTTCATGGTGCTTGTTTGGAAACAGCAACATATGTAGGTCCCACTGAGGTACTGGTACAAAGACACATTCAATGAAACACTTGGATGGTTCTGATTCAGATATAGAGGCATAATATCTTTCAGACTTTCGCTTCAGAAAAAACTATTACCAGCAAGCATGATTGCAAGTGACTAACAGCAAAAGACAATCTGATTATTTTCCTCGATTCTGGCATCTAAAAAACAACTTAACCCTTAAATTATCTAAGCTCTGAAACCAGCTCTTTGCCGTCTTGTCTCAGAATAAGGGCATCAAAAGGTGGCACAGATTCTCATTTCTAACTGCTAATTCCTACTGAAAACCCAGATAAGGGGAATAAAGTTGTATAGACTCAACAAGATTAATAACCACATAATCATTAGGGGGAATTCCACACCCAACCCCAACCACCCCTTCCTTTTTAAACAGAGTAAAGCAGAGAGAGACAAAGGAAGTAGTGTACCTCTTCTTGGAGCATGGTTCCTTCTGCAAATCACAGTCCCCGAACGATCCATCGATTTCCGCACTACACAGAAATCACACATGCACACACAGAGATAAAAGATCAAGCAAAATAACCACAAAAGCAGCAAGAAAAAAGAGTAGCAATTTTAAGTGCCTGTTACAAGTATGTATGTTTTATGTATCCAAAACAAGAACAGTATACGTCACAAAGGAAAGAAAGAAAGTGAGCGGATAAAAAAATAATAATAACAATGCACTTAGAATAGAACAATATAAACACACTTCAAGTGACAAGAATTGATATTATAGCTCTCATTAATGAAAGTATAGAACATTAATTAACAATAAAAGTCAAAAGCTGCCCATTTCAAACTACAACAGAAAGTAAGTATAACCTTACCATTTGCAGGTCCCTACTACTTTAAGAAACTCCAAGAATCATACTTACAACCTACACTAGTTACTCCTCTCATGATACAACATATATACTATATGTCCATGCATAAACAATCCAGCTCAAACTCCTACTAATTAAAACTGACACACGTCACATACAAAATGAGTAAAAACAAATTTGCCTCCTAAACACAAGATTATTCAAGGGAAAAAATCCCATAGCAACCATCATCCAAAATTTCAGCCGACACCCAACGCAATTCATCTTGTAATAAACCTACTAGTTAAATCAAATCAAGCATCAACCACCAAATTCTCAGAGGAATAATAAAAAAGTCAATCATACTTTAACAATCACATACCCATTTTAAATTCACCTTACTACTAGCATTAACAGGCACAAAACAACCAAATAAAAACAGAATCTCACATAACTCTTAACAAACCCTAGTCACTAAAACCCCTAAATCAGCTAAAAAAAAATCCCTGTTTTTTTATTAACAGAATCTAAAACTTGAAATAAATAAATAAATGAATAATATAGAACACCCCTAATTTAAAAAGAGAGAAGGAGATCCTACCCGAAATTAGGAGAAGAAGCGGTAACAACAGGAGCAAAAGCGTTTAAGGGTTGGGATTGGTGGTGGTGGTGTTGCTGCTGTTGTTGTTGAACTAGAGGTTGAGATGGTGGCCAGGAGAAACCAGAGAAATTGGGATCATGAACTGGAATATCATCCATATTTATATATTGATCGTACTCGAGTAGAAGAGCCGCGTTTCCTGGTGACACCATTTCTTCCCTCTTCGACTCTTTTCAATTAATCAGTCAATTGATTTTCCCAAAAAAAGAAGAAAAAGGAAACAATTTGTGTGTGTGTTTCGTTAACCAATTTTCCTGGGGAAAAAAACAGGAGGGGAAGGGTTGTTGGGGTTTGCGTTTGTTTTTGGGGTTTGTTTTTTTGAGGAATTTTGGGGAGAAGATGATTTGATTGGTGGGAGGTGGTGGTGGTGAAGACTCGTTCGTCATGGAGCACCCACTTCCACCCCAGTATCCGGTTTGTTTGGGCTTTTGGGCTTTCTTTAGCCTATGTGTTCAAATGAATTGGTTTTGGGTCTTGGGTTTTTTTCTTTTTCTTTTTCTTTTTTTTGACAGTCGAGGTATTTATATCCGAAACCTTTGAGAGAAGCGGATACGGACAAGAAGTGAGCTACAAACTCTATCCAATGGATTTGGTTATAACAACGACATACTATTTATTATATACAGGTCTGGTAGTAAAGTAATGTTATAATTGACAGATCTACAAAGATGACAGTTTGTAAATTAAAATGTTAATTGTTAACCGTCAGAATAGCATGTTTGCTGATGTATGGCCGTGTGCTGATGATGTTATGATACCATTTTTTTTCTTTTTCTTTTTTATATATAGTTGTAGCCATTTTTTTAAGTCAAGAAATGCTAGACCACTCACTACCTTTTGGATGTTAAAAGAATTTTGTTTTTGTTTTTTTTTTTTTTTGGAAAAAGTTGGTTAAAAACCACTCTATTGATTGCCATGGTTGAACAGTTACAGCATAGTTGAAAATGAGTCTTCAATCTTTATCACGAATAATGCGCCTTCAAATTATAGTTCTAAAGGAGGAAAATGATTTGATTAAATTTAAATGGATGAAAATATAGAAATCAACCTAACATGTAAAATTTACAGATGAAGATCAACTGCAAATAATTAGAAAAAGTATAAGATTAGTTGTCTTCCAAATTTCTTTTAATTATTTCCGTTATGTCTTTACAATTATTTATTAAATAAATTATTTTAAATACTTCGTATTTTAAGCGTGGCAATGCCTTACCTCCTTACTTTCTAAAAATTATATTTTATATTATATAAATTTGAATTCTCACTTAAAAGAAAAGAAAAGAAAACAACTAAATAGCGATAAAAATCAACGACGAATATGAAGATATCGGTATACAATGACGGGTTAACGAATGAGTAACAACTGCTATCAATTTCCCGACGTTTTGGGTTAATAACGACGAACATCAACCGACTAGTGACAAAATTTCAAAAATATTACCTAATTGACTTAAGCGATAAATTTTGGACGAGTAATTTAGCGACGTAATACCAACTAAGTTGCGAGGGATTTTAGCGACCAATGGTGTTCTCCATCACTAATTTTGAGCGGGATATGGGAGGATTGCTTAAAAAGCAAAAAAGCAACGAATACTTTTTTAGCAATAGAATTGTGTTTGTCACTCAAAATCAGCAACGGAACATTTCGTTGCAAATTATTGCACAATTTAAAAAATTAACTAGTGATGGACACTTAGTTTTAGTCATAGAATTATATTCGTCGCTCAAAATCAACGATAGAACATTTCATTAGAAATTATAGGAAAAATTGGCATAGTTTAAAAAAATAAACGAAGTGACGGATACTTATTTTAGCGATGAAATCGTATTCATTGCTAAAAAAATCCTAAAACTTGGCCATCCCTCGGCCGGCGCCACCACTCTTTTTCTCCTTCGTCGACACAAATCGTCCGATCACCTTACTCCACCCCTAAATCTAACGGACATGGTCTTAATATGCTTAGAGAACTATATATTACAAAATATTCAAATTTAAAGAGGAGGTGTAAGAAAGAGAGAAGAGATGATTGGACTAAGATAGCTCACATTCCTAGCATTTATATCAACTACAAAGTAATCCAAGACTCCTAATACCGATTCTAGACATATATGGAGATAAGGGTGATTGGGGTTTTTTTTCAATATCTAGTGATGAGTGTCAATTTCGTGACAATTTTCTTTCTTCTTGGGATGATCATATTATTACATGCTTTCTCAACTTGCCTTGTTTTCTTTTCCTTTCTTATTGAATAGCATGAATGAGATAGATTGCTCGATTCTTATTTGCACATTCGATGATGATAAGACGTAAACAAATTTACAATCTAGTATGCATACCTTAATTGAAGATGATTGATGGTCTATGTATCGTTTTGATGAAGGAACAAGTCCCTTTTATATTTCTTCTTTCCGAATAATTGTCTACTAATCATTTATTGTTGTTTTATCACTTCATTAGTTTCTAGTGAAAAACCATTTCTTTGATAATCTTCTACTCGAGGCTTTTTTTTTTTTTTGCCAATAACTCATCTTCATTAAATGTGATTCCTTATATTGGTAATTGGGTCATTGTGTCCGTTATCAAACATGAAAGGATAATGTTCCTTGAACATCTTTTTATGTCGATGAGGAATAAATTATGCAACACCATAGTCAAATGTTATTTGAGGGAATCTTACAGTTGTCCGACTTACATGTCTCTTTATGGAGTCGTTTGTCTTGTTCACATTATATCCGGTGCAATGTGGTATGGCCATTATGGCTTAGGTGAATAGTATTATGCTTGTTGATGAATTCCAAAAGTATGTTTTTTCTCTAGCATGGTTGAAAAGTTAGACTAAATGAATATGCATTATGTCTATGGTTATAGAATTGCTTTTAGTCTAGGAAACTAAATGAAAAGACTTTAATAGGTCTTGTACATAATAAGTGGTAAATTCTTTTCATTATATATGTGTACATAGCTACCTATGATTCTCTCGTTGCTCTTGAGTCTTGACTAATCGATGTTGCTTTCATTGATTATTAAAGTTAATCATATGTTTTAGAGCTTGCCAATTTTACAGACTTTCTAAATGTCCGGTCTCGCATACATCTAGAAATGTCATTAAAGCCTTTTACACCCAAGTTCATCTATTTTTCCAAAGCATATTAAATTTTAAAGCTTTTGTTTGTGGATAGAGCACTTTATCATTATAGTTTATTTAAATGAATTTGGTGTATCAATGACTCTACTCACCTATTGTTGAAACTAATAGATTGATTGTTTGTGGTCAAAATATTTGTCATAACCCAAAATTTGGGGTATATATATATATATATATATATATTCCTCCAATTTTATTCCTTTTAGGTTTTTTTTTAATTTTCATTTATTTTATTTTATTTTTTATTTAATTTTCATATTCACTACAAAAAAGAAAAGGAATAAAAAATATAAAAAATATATAAAGATACAAAAAAGAAGAAGCATGATATGATTAATTAGGGGCAATTGAATAAAAACGAACCGAAATTGAAACAATTGAGGATACAATTAAAAATCTTAAGACTCGAAATTAAAAGATATAGGGGTCCAACCGAAAAAATTGAAAGAACCAGGGAACAAAATTGCATGCCTAAAAGGTATAATTGCAAACAATTGAAACATGCGAGGACTAAATTGAAGTTAGGGAGTGAAATATGGAATTAAAAAGTGATTGAATGATGAGACCAAAAAGTGAGTGAACGACTCCGTCGTTCACTTCAACTCAAAATCAATTCCGTCATATTATTCATCATCTTCTTCTCGAGAGCACAAATCTTTTTCTTGCTAAAATTCCTAGCTAGCATTTGTACCAATCAAGAATCGCAGTTCACTCTTGCACCGTCTACACAACTCGCACCATATGTATCCATGTAAAAACCAAGTAGTACACACATTTAGTTTTGGTTCTGATTTTTGTTTTGTTCACAAATGGTAGAAAACCCATTATTAGTTTTGGCTTTAGCAATCGAGGGTTTCAATCGACTAAGGAAGGATTTTAGGGTAGGAATTTGTTGGAGTTCGGCTATAAATTAAGGTGAATTAGAGGAATTGAGACACAAACAAAGAGAGATTAAGTGAGAGGAAGGGAGAAAAGAGAGGATTCCGGGTTCTTAAGTTTTTGGGTTTTTCTTTAATTCTTTAGGTTTCAAGAACACTAGCAACCCATTGTCACGAAAAAAAAAAAATGATATCCATCCATGCTCACAATTTTTTTTACAAAAAATATATATTTTTTGATAAAAATATTTTCACTTAAACTCAAATTTAATTTTTTAAGTCCTTTCTTTAGTTCTCTATTTTCTTTATGTCTATCTTTTTTATAAAGTAAGTATTGATAATTACTCGTAAAGTAATATTAAATTTCTAATAATGAAAATAATATAAAATTTCTCTGTTGGAAACATACTTGAAAATATTGGTAATGTGAAAAGGAGAAAATGAGAAGAAATGTATGTATCACGTAACTCATATTATAATCAAGGTAACCCGAGGCTTAGAAGTCCGGGTAAGAATTTTTGTTACATTTTTCTTAAGTTTGAATTCATGAACCCTTATTTAAAAAATATATTTTTTCTTCAATGCACTAGTTTATATGAAAGATGTATATATTTAAAATTGTCTAGAGAAAAATATAGTTTGGCGAAAAAAATATAGTTTTAATTGATGTATAAATTGATTCGAAAAGATTTTTTTTGTTGAATAAAAAGAAAATTATTATCAATATACTTTAGAAGTTACTACCATAAATGAATGTACTCTTTTTTCTATTATTTTAGATTTGAACTCACAAGATTGTAAAAAAGAAAGTTTTATAATATATAAGTCTAAGACAAATGATTTGCTTAAAATCTATTTAATAAAAGGTTTATCTGTATATATTAAATTTGGCTCAAAGAATATTTTTATCATTAAACTCTTTTAAAAAATAGTACTATAATATGATAATGTTTTTTAAAATAAAAATCAAGCCATCTTATTTGATTGCCTCACTTGGAATAGTGTTTTGTTTTCTTTATAATCATACAATGTATTAATTATTATTGAGAAATCAAGGATTTGAAATCCACCATGCTATCACGAACAATCCAAGTTCAACATAAAGAAAAATAATAGAGCGAATAAAGAGTTGACGTACAAGATTTAACATAGTTTGGCAAAATTATGCCTACTCCACAAACTCGAGAGTAATTTTTTATTATGAGAGAAAATTAGTACAAGAATAAGATTGTGGTTTTTTATATCCAAAACCTAATCCCAAAGCCCTTTGTACTCTCACTCTCACACAAAGAAAAAAACCTCTCAATCCTTATGTTTATCACACACTAAAACCATACATCTATTCATTTATTTATAATGGCTAAAATTCTTGGTGGGACAAGAAATCCTTGGCCATTATTCCACTCTTCGAACTTGGCCATTACTCTAAGGAATACAAGTGATAAGCCTAACAATATCTATTTTGGCAAATATTCTTTCCATCTTAAAGTTTGTTGGCTCTACTTGCTCACAAATATAGCAAACGTAAAAATAAAAATAATCATTGGTCTTAAAATTTGCATACTACATGATCTGAATTAATAAACAATCTTGAACTCCACCTAATTTAAAAAGCATGACTAATGCACATGTGCAATTGTCCTAAGTCAACTTTACTTGTTAACTCTAAAGAAGATCCTCGAACCATCATCTTTTTCAACAGGATCATTTCTCCCACACTCATTTAAAGTATGAGAATGCATAATACTTGTCTTTTTTCAATCACCAAAGAGATTCTTTTCGGATAGCTACCATATTATGCACTCTATTCTCGACCACTCATCAAGGTCATTGTCTTTTTAATTAGATGATATAAACCATCACACTTTCCTCCTTTCATCAAGATGTTAGCTCGTGTTTGACTTTCAAGATTCCATATGTAGATTAATAATTATATCATTTGAACTCTAATTGACTTAATAATATTATAGTCCTACATATGTATCATCGAGGCATAAGCCGACCACTCAAAGTATGGATCATTCCATCAAATATTTTGATCTTCACTCGTTCCAAAACTCATAGTATCACAAGACAACACACCATTCAAAGACACAAGTGCTAATATTTGCTTCTTGGAAATCATCAAAATATTCATCCATAGAACACACATATAATACACATGTAGAATTTAATATCCAACTATCATGGGAAAAAGTGTTAGTACCTTCGTAGACTCGTGAAGACATCTCGGTAGTCTTCTACCAACATCAAATTTTTTTACCATCATCAAATTGATCCATCTTTCTTTTTTCAAGAAAAATCTTACTTGATGTGACCAAGTTATTTGCATAAGTAATATTAAATGCACTTTTTATTGGACTTGGACTTAAGCCTCGCCATTTTGAATCCCATTTTAGTTGATTTTCTTTTTCGATTCTCCCTTCGGTCACCAAGATAGGGTTATGTTTCTTTTCTTGATTTGACTTTCCGTGCATCTCATGAGATAAAAATGTAGCCTGTTCTTGGTCCAAATTCTTGTCTCTTTAGCATACAACAACACTATCACTAGATTTTTAAAAAAATTGGGATGAGAGGAAAGAAACAAAAAATCTTTATCTTCTTTCTCAATCTTAACATCAACTTTTTATAGTTAATCCAAGTATACTAATAAACACATTCAAGTGTTCTATAAGATTTTCGCTTTCTTCCATTTTTAGCTTGTGAAGTAGTCGTTTTAGATGTAGCTTGTTAGTTAAATTCTTCGCCGGATAAGAATTTTCTAATTTTTTTCATATTGCAAGCATCACGTCTTTATCCATACCATTATTGCTAATGCTATTAGCAATAAATAGTCGAATGATGCTCACACACCGATTTCAAATATTTCCCACTCTTGCTCTTACATCTCTTCCGACTTTTCATCCTTTTCCTTCCACGCTTAAGCATATCACTATTCAACAAGGATGTCTTTCATTCCTTTTAAATTGTTTCACCGTACATTGAAACTTGTTTGCAGATATTGTTCACAATCAAAAGTTGAATCTTTCAAAACCAAAGCTCTAATACCAATTTGTTGAAAAATTAAGAATTCAAGATTCACTACACCACCACGAACAACTTAATTCAATGAAAAAAAAATAATAAAGATGAATAAAAAATAGGCACATAAGATTTAATATGGTTGGACAAAATTTCGCCTACTCTCAAACCCGAGAGTAATGTTTTATTATGAAAGAAAATTAATATAAGATTATGATTGTAATTTATTTATTTTTAATCCAAAACCCTATTCCAAAGTCCCTTGTATGCATTATCACACTCGAAAAAACTTCTCAACTCTTGTGTTTTTCACACACTAAAACCGCACATTTACTCATTTATTTATAATGATCAAAATCCTTAGTGGACAAATAATTCTTAATCATTACTTCATTTCTATAAATTTAGTCATTACACCAAAAAATATAATCCATAAACCAGAGAATCCCGATTAACTTTTAGTCAATTCTACAATTTCAACGCACGTTAAAAACATTATATTCATTCATATAATAATAATTATGAGTTAAACGTTTACATATACAGCTTGGAGTTTGTGAATCGAAAGAAAGAATATACACTACAATAAAAAATTTCACGTTCTAATCCGGATGTCAACAAGAAAAGAATGCGAGCAACAGCTTAGAAGCATTTTCTAAAATGGCATTTGTTAAAAAACCAAATGAATTTCTTTTTAGAAATAATTTCTTTAATATTTTGGATGACGTATAAAGTTATAAAGAAATTATTTTGATTTATTCATTTTATATTAAATCGTGGTTGATCGTATATTGCAACATTTGGCCGGTTAATCGGGACAATGAGTTGATTATTTAAGAAATTAAGTCTAAGTTATGCTAATCCTTAAGTAAAAATAACAACATTAACCAAAAAAAAAAAACATTAAAATATACATCAACCATTATATTAATAGAACTCGTCGTTAGATTGCATATTAAGTTAAATTCCAATAACTCACATAATCACATTTTTCTTGAATGTTTTCTCGTTGGATATCATTTCTCATTCATTTACCCTAAGATCACATCCTATTCTAGCTAAAAAGTTTGGAATGGATGTTGAAACATCCCTTTTATTTAGAGGAAATGTGTTTGGTTTTCAACCAAAAACACTTTAGAATTGTTAAGTTGTGAAGATTGATATAGATGTAATCCATAATTTAGAACGCTATGCAAAATTATTAGGTTCTATAGAATATTGGATCGACTTGTATAGACTCGTTCGGCTTTTTTCTTATAATTTTAGCTCGTTCACATTATAAATAAAGACAACATCTCTTGTATTTGTAAGTTGTCACTTGATAAAATCATAATAAAAAATCCTATTATAGTCATGGAGTAGACACAATTGTCAAACAAAAAATCTTTATATTGTTTAATTATTTTTATCTTTTTACTCTATTTTCTTACTTGATTCGTTTCTTAACAAGAATGATCATCGAGTATCCTAATTTCATCTTTATACGGAGGGGAAACCACTAATTTTCCTCCCCAACATGGTCATGGTTTGACGGGTAAAAATGCAGTCTTGTTAATGGGTATCTACGTCTCGGTTCTCATTTTATATTCTTTGTTTACTACATGATTGATGCTTTAATCTAATATTGTTTATTAATATGTTTGTTAGAGATCTTAGAAATGTTAGATAATAAGTTAAGCGTACTATGAAGGAAATTTGAAAGTGTTTTCAAGTGGGATTTTATCCCACATTGGAAATGAATGAAAATAAGAGGCGACTCATAAAGTGGGCCTCTAGCAAAACTTTCAAATATTTGATTAAAGGAATTGGAGGAAAAACTAGGATAATTGGTTGGAATTATATATATTTAAATAATCAAAGACTAGCAAGTTAGCACTTTTATTTTTTAATGTAATTAAATTTGTAATTATTTAATTAATTACTTTTTTAATTTTTTGTCGTAGACTAGTTAGTTATTAACAACTTTCAAACCTTATGTCTCGTTAGAGTCTAACAGCTTATGATCGTTGGATTATGACCGTTAGAATCAACAATCATGTTTGTTATGAAAGGGTATCGGTGGTCTATAAATAGGGGACTACCGCACATGACGAAATTAATTACATTCTCTACAATCCTCCTCTCCTCTCAAAAAATTCTTTTCCTTCTAAGACTCTACAACTTTAAGAGATATTCTCTCGAAGGAATTTCGATAGTGCCGCCTACAGCTCCTTGTGTGCGAAAATTGTATCCTAGAGGTGAATTGCTAAAATCCCCGCAGCATTATAGTAGGGGCAATAACCACCTTAAGGACGATGTAGGATATTTTCTCGCACGCAATTAAGCACTACATATTTCCGTTCTTCTTCAAGTTCATTTCGACTTTTTTCCAACAATGTTTTAATAAGTGTCTTCAAAATCATAATCAACCATGCTAGCAATTGATAGGAGAAACAAGACAAGAGAACAAATAATTTTTGCCCCAATTGAGTTGAATAGGATTTCCAAGTCCTGGAAGTTAAATCATACGAGTAGTGACTTCATGACGAATAATAAAGAATAGGATGAGACCTTTTGTTACAGAATTAAGGCCAATCACGCCCTTTAATTACATTCATTCCCTTAATGACAATCATATTCAAAACAATTATCGTTTCAAGTAAATCAAACCCATCAAATTTTCAGAAAAACAATGCAAACCCTTCATCTACAACAAGTTTCTTCTGTACAATCTTGACGATATCATGTGAATGGTTCATTATCCACATCCTAAATTGCTTTATATCCAGGAATATTGTGAACAAAATCACCAATTCTTTTCCTTACCTCATCTGGATTGGCACCCACTGCCTTATCAACCTTAGCCCCTTCCCTCATCAATAAAAATGTGGGCATGGCCTTTACCTCCATCTTGGTAGCTACCCCCTAGTTGAGTACAGTCACAGCACCATTAAATATCTAAACGAATGATATGCATGGATGGACAAATTTAGAGCCCATAGCCCAGTATTATTGTGGCTCAATATTGGATTCTCTGTAACACCAGCTATCAGAACAAACTTAAGATCGAATCAAGCACAAATTTTGATTAAGAAAAAATTATTATGTATTAAGAGAGTAGGTATTATGATCCTTTGGATTCTCTGGAAACAGTTTTATATAATTTCATTTTATGCTTGTCCTTTTATTATTGGGTTTAGGGATAAGGTTTTATAAGCCTTGTGTTCGGTGGTATACCAAAAAAAGAAAAATAAAAAAATACATGAATTTTTTTTTACTTATTTCATTTAAAAATATGGGCTTTTTTTTTTTTTTTAATTAACCAGGGCTTGATTTATCTTCACTCAGCAGAGTGCAATTATTAGATCAGATTTAGCAAATTCCAAATTTTAATAAAAACAAAACAAAACAAAACAAAATGAATCCAAATGTTGACCAATTTACAGGTCAAAATCTGCGTTGCAGGCTTGCACATGTTTTGCTTCTAAATAACTTACCAATGGGCCAAAAGTTTCTCAACCTTACGCATCAGTTACCAAGTTTCAAAGATGAAACAAGTCCATATCCATATGTGAAACAGAAAATTAGCCTTTTTTTTTTTTTTTTCCAAGCATACTGTAGTTTACATCAATTATTAGGTGTTAGAAAATAGGAAAAGAGACGACGGGACACAGAATTGGCTACTATTACAAAAATAAGAGGTTATTTTGATTTTTTTTTTTTTTTGTAATGAAATTTTTTTAAGTTAAAACATTACGAAGAAAGAATTTGAATTCGTAATATCTTCTAAGCACAAAAATTTCATTACCATGGAAGCATAAGCCTATTAATCAAATTCCATATAATTGATGAGAATAAAAATGCATACTTATGTGATTATTTGTGATTGTAATGGTTATGTTGAAGAGATTTACCTTAACTTCATCAACATCCACAGAGAGAAACAGAATATCTTTATAGCTCGAGGCTACTTCCTCAAAGAAAGGATTCATGGCTACTGAAGGTATGCACCAAGAAGCTGTGAAGTGCACCACAACCTGCAGTATATATGCCAGAACGAAAAGGAAAAAAAAAAAAGGAAAAGATTAAATCCATTGTATAAAATTTTAGCCTCCAAAGCGAAAGCTTCACAGAATAAAAGCTGACAGAATTGAGTAACGTTTCTTGAAACGTAAAAACAGTGACACTCATGAAAAGAAAGAAAATAACTTACAGGGCAGTTTTTATTGGTAGCTTGAGTGATGTAGAAATCCCATGATTTCTCTGAGTCTATTTTGACAACCCTAGGCTTAATGACCTGTTCACGTCCAGCCATTTTTTCTTCTTGTTCTGCTTGTTTCTCTCGTCTTCTAATTTATGGAGGCTTTGTACCACATAACAAGTTAGGCAAGTTGAACAAGGGGCGCTGCTTGTTTCTCTCTATTTGGTTTAGAATGAATGCAGTTTCCTTTCGAATAAGAAGCGACTAAATCAATAATATTGGACCCACTTTCGGTTTTATTTGTTCTAGCATATCTTCAAAGTAGTTTTGCTTTATCCACTTAATCATCCATCTTTGAAATTTCTCTATTTTATACTTAATTAATAAAATATCCTTCCTCAAAACATCAGGTAATGAATGTTTGTTAAATATATTTGGTGTTTTTTTTTCCTTCACAAGGACAAGCTTTAATCAAAGGAAGGATAAAGATAGCGTTAATTAACATTCATGAATCATGAACAATCCACAATGATTTTACTAAAGTGAAAAGACAGGTATACAGTAGGCTGACTGCTGCAATGCTGAACTTACTTCAGCAACAAATATAAAGTTTGTGTTCGAAGTTTAAGCATTACAGGATATAGGAACACAGTGTCAGAAAAGTATGTTTTTTCCTTTTGTTTTCTGATTTCTGATTTCTGTTATTGTGGGGCTCTTTTCATAATAAATTCGGATAATAAAGCGCGTAATACTGTTTCAAACAAAAATAAACTAGTTGAATTTGTGGGATCCAGGTCCTCCCTTGGTCTCCTTATTGGATCATAGCATTTGGTGACTCAAAGCTCAAATGAATAATCTTTTCTTGATTCATTGCATGAGCTTCCACATTTAGGTGAGGCAATTAAGGTTGAAAAAATGAGTTAGTTAGCTAGCTTTATTCGTGATGGAAAGACAGGGTTACACTCAATCAAGAACGTATGATTCTACCCAAGCAAGATCTAGTCAGCCGACAAGAAGTTGGCAAGTTGATAAAGAAATTCCGTCTTCCTTCCACTTTCACTAGCTTTTCTGATTTAATGGAGAACTAGCACTGATACGTATATTTGGAAACAGACGTATAATATAGAGTTTAGTTTTCCATTGGTACAAATGTCAAAGAATACTGCTTCTATAGCCCACACATGTTTTACCCTAAATTTCTACGTCCATATCAGGGGCTAAGGATTATCCTTATCACCATCCTGTTGCTGAAGTGAGAGAACTGCTGCAAGCAGTAGGCAGGACATGTTTTCATATCAGTAGATTTCTGTCTGCCAAATAGATTATTTGAAACAGATTTTATATGTCTACTTGACCTCTTGCTGCTAAAATATACGCTTAAACATTTTGAAAACTAGAATTAAGTTAATATAATACCTATGCACAGGCAATGCTAGAGTAGGCTTCCTCTTGACCTTGGACTTGAAGAATGAAGAGGCAATTCTAAGTTGGGTGGATTCTGCTGGCTCAAGCATTGGCCTGTGATTCTTGAAGAATGAGTTTTTTTATGTTCTTAGGATGAGTAACGCAAAGATTACCACTAAGCATCAGTTGATACAAAGGTTGGATAGGAGCTGGGAGGTCTAATATGTTCCATTCCTTAGTTTTACCCTACATTAACACTTCAAGGTCTGAAATCTGCTACACTTATAGAATATAGAGATGGTTATGTCCAAAAAACAGGGGCATAATTGAAAAGGTTATAATTCTTTTACCACTTAGCGCACAATATGCATAAGACATGGTCTGAAGTTTAACTCCCAGAATTATTTCGGGCAAAATGTCCAAACTATCCTCTTTGAGGATATATTTCTGGTGGTCAGAAGTAACCAACACTTCCTGGAATGGATATAACAGAGATCCTAACAACGAACTCATTACATTTCCTCAAAACTGCCACTCTGACACTAAAGAATGGCAAATTTAGCAAACTTAAATGGTGTCACTGAGACCCTGCCAGCCATACCAAAGCTTACCAATGCGCAGAAACCCCGAAAAAGGATGAAATTAACTGGATTTCTAGGCAAGAAACCAGTTAATCTTCAAGAGAAATCATTTCAAACTACAAGAAGACTAGCATTAGGCCTTGCTTCAATAGCTCTTATTGGAAATTCCAGTACTGGTTTCTCTCTCGCGGAGGATAATTGGTGGGCTCGTGACATCCCTTTACCTGTGCCTTCTGTGGAGAATAGTAAGCTTTCTTACAAGCATCTCAACAGAATCCTAAGTTTCTCATTCTCTTGCATCGAAAATATTGTTGCTTGAGTGTAGAATTCTGATATGTTCCCATGATACTTCAACCATTCATCATTGTTTATGTAATGCAGAACTTGCAAATGAGGAGACAGGCACCCGTTCTTTTCTGAAGAAGGGAATTTACATGGCAAATGTTGGATTAGAAGGGAGCGCACGCAGGGTAAAGAGATATGCCTTTGATCTCTTGGCTCTGGAGGATTTGATAGGACCAGACACCCTGAACTATGTCAGGAAGTATTTGAGAATCAAGTCCACCTTCATGTACTATGATTTGGACAAGATTATCTCTGCAGTTCCAGTCAATGATAAGCAACCTCTTACCAATCTGGCTAACAGATTGTTCGACAATTTTGAAAAGGTAAACCAATGGTTCAACGCGGAGAATTTTCTCTTAACTAATTGTTGAAACTTCTTTTTACACGGGGTTGAACTTTACAAGCTTTATTTGAACTAATTGTCCAGTTTCTGATTCATTGACAGCTTGAAGATGCATCAAAGAGGAAAAACCTGTCTGATACAGAATCAAGTTATCGAGACACAAAAGTACTTCTGCAAGAGGTCATGCAACAGAATCCAATTGATCTGAAGAGCAAATTTACCTATTACCCGGAAGGACTTAAAAGTTAGTCAAGCCTTTCCAGCGACAAGAAATATACTCACATTAAGGTGTACTTTCTATTTATTCTTAAATAGCTATTTTGTCTTTCCACCATAATTTTAAATAAACCGTTATGTAACGGTTTCAAAACATCCCGTTACTATTATTTTAGTATTATAGTAAGCCATGATCCACGATAGTGATCGCGATCGTTTTTTCAACTGTTCACAATTTACAACTATGCTTTCCACTTATATTTCAAAATTCTTCATGATTTTTAGGCAAATGGCACAAATATAAATTCTTAAGGAAATGAAAGAAACTAGGAATTAAGCAAGTGCGAGTGTGAACAGGTAATTACAAACGAATTTCATAGGGAATTCATTCTCAAGTAAACAAATAATAATACCATTGTAATTCACTATACAAGTTACTAACTATCAGCTCATGTTAGGATCACTCTCACTTTCTCAATTTACCAATACTCGTGACAGAGATACATAATACTATCAATTTGTGTTAGAATCAGCCCAAACTCAAGCGAGACTCAAAAGACCGCATATTGGCTTGACGTCGAGGAATACCTATCTCACAAGCATTAACCCTGGATGCAAATCGGAGGGAGCAAAGTGACTCACCCAATGAAGAGGGATCAGGAGAAATGTTTACAAACATCAGTGTCTTTGAGTCTCCACCTAAACATGGCTGTTTAAAGAACAAAAATATTTTAGATCACCAAGATAAACCAAAACAGTCAAAAAGAATGATGTGGATTGTTAATGTTAGCCAGGATTTAATTTAGAAAGCCACCAAATTATGTTTAACTTCTCAGACAAAAACATTCAAGCAATTTTCTTGGGATGTGCTTTCACCTACTATAGGTAGGTCAAACATAAACTTTTGTAGAACAAAAGCTCGAAGTGATAATAATTTATCTATAAAAACTTTTTTTGCTGAAATGATGGCATAGGAGATCTTAATAAGATAAGTGAAAATACTTTATACAACATGGACGAAAGATGAAGCCTTATATAATAGTTTAGTGCAAAGATCTTAAAGGAAGAATCATCCTCACACCAAGGAAGTCTTTTAGTAGTTTTTTTTATGAAATTTTGCTACAGCAATCATATAAAGATAAAAGACTCAATCTATCAAATATAATTCCATAGAAGTGGCACATAAAAATTAATTATCTTCGAGGTCTTTTAAGCTATTTACCTGCAGAAGATAAGTAAGCTTTGAGTTTCTAAATGGCACATGATCCTCCTTCTTCGCCAGCGCAAATATAACATCACTTAAAGATGATAAACTTTTATTGATTGCCTGATAAAAATTGCATGGAAAAATTGGTTGATTACTAAGAGTAAATAAATTTTTTTTAAAAAAAGGTACTATCAGGTCACAATACATACTTGGGTTTCTCTCAATCTATCCCCAGTTGAACCACTCTTGGAAAGACGCTCGCTCCCAGCAAGATCAATAAGATTCAAAACACCTTGTACTTGTTGTTCTGTGTTCTGATGGATGCAAATAAACATTCAATTTAAAGGGGAGAAAATAAAAGGAACAACATAAAAGACCTTACAGAAAACAAAGGTATTGTTACCTCATTAACACCAGATATTCGCAATGTGAAAACAAAGTGACTTCTAGATGATTGCTCGTTCATTTGGGTCTTGCCAACAGACCTAGAAGACGGAAAATTTTAAATTTTTTGTTCCATATCACTGTAATTGAAGGAAACTAGTTGAAGAGATACATGACATTTATTTGTGTGTGTATGTGAAACGATTTCCCTTTTAGTAATACAATCAAATTAGATTCTTTAATTGCAAGTTTTTATGCAGTTTAGCAAGCATCAACAGTTAGCAGAGTTGAAAATACAAAATGGAAATAATGAGATTCACAAACATTGCACGATACAGTATTGTATAAACAGCACCAAATACATACATATATATATATATATATATATATATATTAGATGGTTAAATCATCTATTCTAGACACCCATATTCTCGAGAATAGAGAAATGACAAGAAAGAGCTTGAGACAAAAGTTCATATTCCAAACACTACTAACCTACTATGAGATGCCTGATCCAAAAGAAAAGAGACCTCTCTAGTACTGCAAACGTCCACAACAGTGAGATCGGAAACATGTGTGTTCCCATTGGCATCGTGTTTAATTGCATATTGCTTTCCGTTGCTACCATACTCTGTTCGTGATGAATCTTTTGTTGACAATAAATCCCGAATTGTTTCATTGTATATTTCCAACATTGACACCTGTTGTTGTTGTAAAAAAAAATGCTTAATCATAATACCTAAAATTATGCCATGGATTCTAACAATGAAAAACCAAATGACATTACTATTGACCTGCATTTCATATTTCCAGCCTTGGGATTGAAGAGATTGCCTGGTTTGGAATATTTGTTCTAATGACCTGGGTATCAACCCCTTCTCCTCAGGGTTTCCAGGTTTACCCATCATGGTATAAGTTTTACCTGAACCAGTTTGGCCATATGCAAAGATGCAAACCTGGAAAAAACAAAGCTAATAATCTTTTAATGCCCAAAAAAAAGATTCAAGATATCTCTTTTTAATCATTGACTGGATGAACTAGTTAAGATAAATTTAGTGCGAATGTAACAACTGAAAAAATTAAGAGACAAAGAGTTGAAACAATAAATTTAAAGTCACTCAAAGGGCTTGAAAAAAAAACAATCAACTAGGCACGTAAGTCATAAGTGCACTCATGCAGTTGCCAATTGCCACATATCTGTTCTTGAAAATAGAAAAGACTTGGTGACAGATAAATCACCTTGTAACCATCAAGAGCACTTTGAACAAGCTGTGAAATTTCTACAAAAACATCCTCTTGTGATGCATTGGGCATAAAAACTTTATCAAAAGTGAAAGAGTATTTTTGCCCTGGTGCAAAAGTAAGCATGACATTAGTTTGAAAGGTTCAAGATACAATTTGAACAAGAGAAATAATATTATGGCCCTAAAATAAAGATCTATCTGATGTTAAGTTACTTCAAGCATACCATTTTGTGTCAAATCAATGCCTCGCCCGAGAACTTCTGTTGTTGTGGGATAAGATATAACTTTTCCATCAGCACCAGGACTATCCTCTGGCAACAGAGGCCGCACTCGACAAAACACACGAATATTTCCCTTTAGTTCCTGCAGCATAACAGAGCTCCATAAGATAAATGTGTGTTGTACTCAAATAGAAAACTGTAGGAGACTTTAGGATTACCAATATTGTATTGTGTAGCTTTTTTCGTAACTTCTCTCCTTCAACAATTTTAAGTTCTGCATCTTCTAAGCGGTTTTGTAACTCGCTTATAAGTCTCTTTTGTGCTTCAAATTCAGTTTTTGTCTCAAATGCAGATAAATCAGACACCTAAAAAGAGAATAACCTTAACCATAATATAAATTCAAATAACACTATAAAACAGCAGCAACCTACTCAAGCACATGGAAAAATTTCTTGAAAACTAGATAGTGATACCCTTAATTTGTTTTGGGCAGCGTCTAGCTGATCCTGCAATATCTCCAACTGGTTGCTTTGGGATACACATCTTTCCTGCACATAACATATAAGAAAATATAATTGTAAATGCACAAGACTCGTGAGGGAATGAAAAGTTAAATTGTGAAAACAAACCTTCAATTCATTTGATTTTACAACAAGCTCTTCACAATTAATTACTTCAGCTGTTAAAGTTTGCACTTGCAATTGCAGCCGATCACGATCCTCTCTCACCTGTTGCAACTCTGCTCTTAAAGATGCAACTTCATTCACCAGTGCATCCTTTTGCTTTGCAACTTCATCCACAAATGCCTGATAGGATTATCCATCAATGATAGAGTAGGAATACTAAAAGAAAAGTAGCAAAAAAAAAAATCCCTTATGCTTAAACTGGGAAAAATGTAGTTTATGTCCAAAAAACCATGTATCACTACCAATGCTAACATGCCCCACTAAGATCTCATGACATGATTTGACAACTTTAACAAGGCTATGCAAGAAAATAAGTTAGTACTCCTATAACTGAATATTTGTTGACTACACAAAAATCTTATCCAAATGATTTCACGGTCAGAGCACATGACCAAATTAAAACCCCTTCTCTATCTATGGTGAGGCCCATTTAATCTGTTTACCCATTTTAAAACCCTTGGCAAAGGGATGTGGATGGAACTTCGCCACCTTAAATTGACAACATTTTCCTATAGTCAAGGATGCTAAGTTAAATCACTGAACTTTGGCAAGCTCACCAGATAAGCAACTGTGCATAAGTTCGTTTAGTGACACTATTTGTTTCTCTATGCAGATGTCAATTCCTATAATGTTCGGGTGTAAATTTTTGCCTACAAAAGTTGCAGAAGAATAATTACATATAGAGGGACCATACTTCCAGAACCGCAATCATTGTCATTCCTTGTTGATTGTTATATTTTCAAAACCACACACATTGACATTGAAACATAAAACTTTAATGTTGAATGGAAAGTGCTTTTCAACTTTCTTTACATTACAGCTTAAGGATCTATTAGTGAAGGTATGTTAAAATTCCTAACAGCTTAGAATCTTAGGTTGGATAATTTTTCAATGTTATATCTTAACAACATTTGAGATGAAATTAACCCATTTTAGCGACTTCAAATCACAATTTAAACTGCTTAACAAAAAGAAGCTTTCAGAACAGTATTTATTTCCTCATGTTTGGGATACAACTTTTAGTAATGTGTATATAAGTTTGACTTTAGACTTCGCACTAGTTTCCTACCTAATCAGTTATATTCCACATTCCTCATTTGGGGAGTCATACATTGCAAACAGTTCTGTTTTAAGAAACGGGTCTGTCCAGAATTTTCAAGTATTAGTAAACGCTAGATCTACAAGAAAAGCCAAGTAAAGCTGGCCTTGTTTTAAGCTGGCCTTGTTTTTTGAAGCAGTAGGTCCAAAATAAGTGCCAAATGATGCCTGCAGCCTAAGTGCACCAATAATC